CTCTCCTGAGGGTCCCTGGAGCATGACCCAGGCAAACCTTCCCCCATCTCTCTGCTAACCCATCTCTTGGAGAACATTCCCCATCGCCAGCTCCTCAACCAAAATTGCCGCCATCTAACTTCCTTCTTTGCAGGAGAGAAATGTACCCTCTCACAGCTGCAGATTCCCCCAGAGATTAAATGTTTTCAGCAGTGACAACCCTGAAATATCAACCAGGACAGGAGGGCTCCGGCTGCAGCAGGGCTCTCTTCGGGCAGCCCCTGGCAGCCGTCTGTGGCCAGGACGGCACTCTGCCCCAGCCCATCCAGGTAAGGCAGCCCGAACTGGGGCAGCCCGTCCCTCCTTCTGGATGCTGTGCACACAGTGTCCCCATGTGTGTCCCCTGGCCAGGGGCCATTGGGCTCTTCAGCCGTGCCTTGGGCTCCTGCTCCCGGCCTCTTGGCGGCAGGAGACAGGGAGCCTGGGCTGGGCCAGAGCTTTGTCCCCGGCCGCTGCTCTGGGAACAGGGCAGCTCCTCACACAAATCCCTGCCCTCTCGCCTCTCCTGCAGGACCTTCTGGGTGTCCTGAAGCAGCAAGGACCCAGCACTGAGGGCATCTTCAGAAGAGTAGAAAACACCAAAGCCCTTCAGGAGCTGAGGCAGGCCCTGGACCACGGCCACTGAAAATGCAGCTCTTGCTCTGCCTTAGCTTAGTGCAGAGCATTTTAAGCCAGCATGGTCATGGCTTTGTGGAGAGACAAAACTGAACTTCAGACTTTCTCACTGGGGAAGTTCTGCTTCACATGGGAATGATGATTCTTGTTGGTGCTCTACATCAATCCAAAGGGAATATTTAATGTTCAGCAACTGGGATGGGAAGACCGGCAGTAGTGAAACAATTGCAGTATTTGAGGGCACTTCTGCTTTGGGCTGGCCCTGAGAAACTCGGCTGAGACAGGTCTGGTTAGGGTAGGGTACAGGGAGCCTTTGGAACACGCTCCATGCAGTACCAGGTGGGGCCTGGGTGTTGTGCACAGTCAGGGACTATGCTGMGATGGAAGGGATCCACAAGCTGGATCTTGGACTCCAGCTCTGGCCCCAAAAATCCCACCATACTTTAAATCAACTTCCTTGCCTTTTTCAAGCCTCTCAGTTGACATAATTTTTCTCTCTTCCCTTACTTTAGACAAACAGGCAGAGGTCAAARAATCCACACCCATCACTTCAGGTCCTATGCCTGAGAAGATGAGATCAATGCCCAAGAAGTCTGCAGACTCAGAACGGAATCCTTGCACTGCCGTTCTGTGCCAACCCTACAGGGASAGGGTGATCCACCTGCTTGCTCTGAGGAATTACAAGAAGCCAGAGTTGCTTGCTBGCTTGCAGAGAGATGGAATCAGGCAGAAGGACAAGGGCACTCTTGGAAAGATCCTTCAGCAGGTGAGATTGTGGAGTTTGTGACAGCAATTTTTCCACCATG